CTAGAGAGCAATTCGAGCTAAATGATCCACTTGCAAATTTTCATAAACTTTACTTGTGGATTCGAAATGTCGCTTTGATACATACCTATGAATGATTATTATACCAATCAGTCTTACTTTGAACGATGCTTTACGATGGAATGCTATGTCTTTTCATAACAATAAGCAAAAGGAGAACTGAAAAGTCCACAAGTTAAAAATGAAATCATATCATATCATATATGTATATATATATATATATATATTATATGTATATATCATATCATATCATATCGTAACTCATTCCAAGTAGACAGGCATTATCATTTTATTTTGCTCTTTACTTTTTTGGATTTTGTTGAAAAATTGTGATGAGGATTAAAAGCCACTACGATATTTCCAAAGGGGCTCTCCGCAGAGTTTCAGGTTTATTGAAGTCTCTCTCTCTATCTCTCTCCCTCAGCAGGTGAGAAGAATGATTAGCGAAAGCTTTCAATCAAATAAAAAGATTAACAAATAACTTCAGACAAATATTTAGTGTTATGTCCATTAAGAGATGCACATTTCTTATATATACATATATTTGTTGTTACATACATATCTACATATGATATGATAATGATCTTAACAATTCCGCTAATTAAAACATAAGGCTACCCATATGAGATAAGACACCTTTCGGTTCGAGTACGTATTCATATCTAATAATTTGCACTGCATAGACCTGAATTAAATGGTTGAGCTAATTGTCATGGCATACTCACTTACAGCTCTTATAATTGGTATAAGATATTATAATTAAGTTTTAAAGAGATATTTGTGACTTGTGGTTATTTTCGAATTTGATTTTTGGAACTAACTTTTAAATTACATAAGTCGTATTTCCATCTTTTGCACCAATTTATTATATCGTACCGGTATTCGACAAGCAATTGACGATAATTGACTAAATGACTAAATTCACTCAGAACTTAATGATAGCATTGGTAAATATAATATTTAGTATACATATAATACAAAGGTTTTATATTCGGAAGTGTGGCCATTGTAATGATACATACACATAAATTTGTTCTGTCGACATTCATGTAAGATGAACGGACATTAAGTAAACAAATTTCAGGATAAAACAAGCGAAAAAGCTCATCAACCAGTTTTTGTTATACTAACTAAAAATCCTCACTTACTTCCTTTTCGATGTATTATATAATCCCTTAAAAAAATAGATTTAGTAAGAGAGAAAATATAACATTTTTCTATGCATTTAGGTATAAAGACAGCCCACAGAGAATTACAAAAAGAAGAAGAAGAAATACAAAATATACAAATAAGAACATTATAGTCAATTAAGATCGATCTTAAGAGAACCTACATCATTTGACCTAATACAGTCATTCACTCATTTTACGTACTGGCATAGTATTCATGAAAGCCTTTATAAGCACTTATAAAGCTCAAAACGGCAACTGACCTGCTCGAGCTTCAACGAATTTAATTTACTTATCGACGATTTTATTGTTTTGCATTTGTTTCCGCCATAAAAAAATAGAAATTCGACTTTGTCGCCACATAAAGGCTCGTTTTCCATGAGAGCCCCTATATAACAGACCTATGCGATTTAAATAACCTGCGATTAATTTTTGATGCTACTTTGCTACTATTGCTATAGACCGATATTCGTTGCAAAATGTTTAATATTATGACCAGCTTGCTAAACGACGTACAGTTGATGAGAACCTTTACAGGGAATTGCGTCCAAAAGATCGATCCATTTATTTCAAATACGGATTTTCATCACAAAATATTACAAAATTACAACATATCGGCATATAAGGATTTATATATCATGTTAAACCTGATATGCAATGATGGCGAAAAAACCGATCCACTTGATCTCAACAAAGTTACTCATATGAAAAACTTTTCGAAAATTCGGCATTTTTAACATATCAAGGCCTGTTTTTTTTTATTAGAATCCCAATATATGAAGGGATGCAAAAAATAAACGTACGTGGCCCCCAAATGCCTAAGGTTAATTTTTATGTCAAATAGTTGTTATGAAGCAATTTTCACCAAAAAATGACTGAATATGAGACATTTTATGCTATAAAGATTCAGTTTTCATAGGACGAGTTATATGATAAGGAGTTCAAAAAATTACTCTGACCGACCACTATTTTCACACCAGTTTAAAATGCCGATATACTTATACTCAGCGACTTTTGTCACGACATTGTGAATATTACAGACAATAGTATAAAGACTTTTCACTATCAGCCTTCGTATAAGGGGAGTGGTCGAAAAGCCGAACCAATTTCAGTAGGGTTTATTCTTGGGCCAAAATATGGCAGTGTATCAAATTTTGATGAAATATCTCCAAAATTATGAACTGGAAAAAGAAAACAAGACACAAAACAGACGCAAAGATTAATTCAGAAAGTGATTCTGCATCGAACCGTATAATAATCGCGGTATCTATTTCAAGTCTTTGCGCAAACACGGAAATTGTTATAATTACTTATTGGATCGGCAATTGAAGAAGAAGAAGAAAATGATTTTAATAACGATTCTCTACGTGAACGCATTGCCATTCAATTCAAATCATTGCGACACTTGGGAATAAGAAATTTTTCTTTCATTCTGCTGTAGGATGGATCGAACGTGACGTGTGACAGACGAAATATTCAGGCTATGAACTGTTTAAATAAAAATTTCAATTATTTTTGCTTTATTTTTGAATATAAAATCGACATTGGAAATAATTTTATAGGCTTTTCTACGTTACACTAAAGGTTAAGCTATAAACAACTCACCGGAAGTTGCAAATATTCCGTATCCGTGTTGCTTTCTTTCATTTCTCTTTATTTGGCACGAATAAGGAACGAAAGCAATTTTGCGACAAGACCGCATAGCATTTTTTATTCCAAAAGGTTTTCTTTTTTTCTTTTTTTTGTTTTAAAAAAAAGCACGAAAAAATTATTTACTCTATTTCGACTGTGACTGATATTTTTTGTAAAATTGTGACAAAAAAGTCATTTAAAAAAAAAAAAAAAAAAAAAAAGATGTATTCAAGTGTAAGCATGAAGAGTCAAATTTTCTTTTTTTTTTTTTTTGTTTTTCGTAAATATGAACAAATGAAAAGTCTTTTTAGATGCCCATCCAGGATATACTACATGGATGCAAACATACACATGTAATTCAATTTTTATACCAAATACTCTGATTGCACTGATGAGATGCTAGGCAAAAAACAAATTTCACTTTGAAATCTCTCTCTCTCTCTCTCTCTCTCCGAATATGAAACGAAAATATCTCTCCGGATACTGTTGCACACTTCATACCGAGTTTAAAAAGAGCTAATAAGCGATGTCCTCATGTAAAGTGTCCAAATGTTTAAATGTTTAAATTAAAAAATTTATAAAAAAAAAACTTTACAATATGCGTTAAAAGTAAAAGATATTTAAATTATACGCAAAAAAAAAAAAAAAAAAAAAAAAAAAAAACCATTTAACTCTTTACTTAACTATAGTAACGACTGCTTGATGAAAATTTCTTATAAAAATTATGAAAAATTTTAAAGGCTTCAACGCGGGATTATAAAAAAAAACAAAAAAAATCTATCATATATATGCACACTTTCAGTTTACAACCACAAAACGAAATTAAACGAAATATTCTAAAAGTTATTAAAATTAAACGGAAACAGTTAGTGTTACGAAACTTTTAATTAAGCGTTTTAAAAATTTGGTTTTTTAAAAATTTGGTTTTTTTTTTTTTTTTTTTTTTTTTTTTAATTGATATTTGAATCGTTTTACGCGAAAAGTATGTTACTACGGCTATGATTGCAACGTTCTTCATTATATTTGCATTTATACGTGCGTTTCCTTGGAGCAGGAAGCGGTCTCGAACACCATACATAGAACCGCAGACTTCCAACCCACCGTCGCTCCATCAGAAATACGCAAGCAATGAAAATCCAGTGCCAAAAAGTGACTACGAACAACCATCAACGTCAACGACATCGTTGTCGTCATCGTCGTCATCGTCAGTAAGGAAATCGACAGCAACAACAAACAATGTAAATAAATTTGATAAAGCAGATGAAGTAGCAGTCATTAAAATTGCTTCCAACGAGAGCATTAGTCACAAATCCACCGTTCCAAGAAGAGCATCTTCGAAAAATACTAAATCATATGAAGTCACTTTTAGCGGGAGTGTGGGAGGAGGTGATAGCGATTCAGAGCGTACACCTACCACTTCGAGAAGTAGTCGTTTAGTTAGACAATCCAGATCGTATACTGTAAGCATTGGCCGTAGCCCGTCCAGGCCTACTTCGCCGGACAGTAATAGTTCCTCAACTCAGTACCGTTCACTACAACATTCACGCGATCATCCGATTAGAACTTCATCGGATTACGAAACTGCTAATACCGAATATCATCATCAAAAATTATCTGAAACTGAGAGATTTGCAAGCAACGTTCAACGTAGCTCTAGTAATGGTTATTTAAAACACGCGGATACCATGGCATCAGATGACGAAGATCACTCGCATAGTAGGGACAATGACGACAATACGTACGATCGCGATACTGAGGAATTTTATAGTAACATACAAGATGCCACCGGCACATCAGGCACTAGTCGGAGTAAACGTTCATCATTATTTTCACGTTCCGATTCGTCGGCTACCACCACTTCGTCAAGTGGTGGCACCTTTACTGGTGTCAAACGTAGATCGGCGGCCTCAATAATTTCGTCTTCAATATGCTCAGATATAATACCTATAGATCGTAGACGTAGCTCAACAGCTACTGAGTACAGTATAAAATCAACGAGCAGTCAACCGCGTAGATCTAGTGGCCGTGTCCGTCGACATATATCACGCATGACTATTGCTGGAGCAAGACGTCGTACAACGGGCAGGTATATTATTATCAAATATTGTTTATTCATCATAATAATAATAATAATAATAAAAAAAAAAAAAAAAAAAAAAAAAAAATAATTAAATTCTCACAATAATAATAATTATAGTAAATTGGTAGTAAAATAAATAATTTCGATGAAATTTTAATGAAATTTAATTTGCATCCGCTCTATGATGACAATTTTGGACTTATGAGCCGTGTTCTGTTTGCCATTTTACATGCTTTTCCATTAATATATTACTCAAGGGCTTAACTTGCTTAAAGGCCAAATCGGGTAAAAGCTCAGATTCTGCCTTACCCTTAATTGCTATCTGAGTTACGCGTCTCACCGCTTGCATAGCAATTTCCTTACAAGCCAATCGTATCTCGTCGCCCGTAAAATTGGCCGACATTTTCACTAAATTGCACATTGTGGTCTCATTGATTTGCACATTTATTGGCAATAATTTATTTATTATTTTTGCCCTTTCCAATTCATTGGGCAATTGTACTAATAATTTCTTTTCGAATCGTCTGAGGAAGGCTTCATCAATCTCCCATGGCAGATTTGTGCTAGCCAATATAAAGACACCGGAACTTGACTGCTCTAGGCCATCCATCAGCTGTAGTAGCTCGTTTTTAAATCGTTTAGACGATTCATGATCAGTAACACGATCACGTTTCGAAGTTAATCCCTCAATCTCATCTAGGAATATAATAGATGGCGCATGCTTTTGAGCCAAATAAAATAATATCTTTAAGAGTTTTTCAGATTCGCCGCGCCACTTCGAAACTATCATGCTTGATGTGATATTAAAGAATGTCACTTTCTCTTTAGTTTCAGCATAAAGAACTTTGGCTAACATGGTTTTACCACTACCGGGAGGACCATGCAACAGAACTGAACGCCAAGGCTTAAGACCATTGGCGAACAATTGCGGATATTTAAGGGGCGTCAGTACAGCTTCTTTAATAATTTCAACACACGCACTATTACCGCACATATCTCCCCAAGTTAGGTTTACATCTTCGTGAACTATAGTAGAACGTAACATATCAGCTAAACTTTGCCATTCCTGGCAGCTTAACAATAGATCGCCATTAGCTATGTTATTGCCGTGTTGTACTTCCCTTAAAGAAGCAAGCGATTCCAGATTATGTTTCTTTTGCAACGTATCCGAGTCAGCTTGCTCGTCCCTCGATTGTGTATCGATTTTCGTTACCGTCACTTTCAAATCGTTAACGTCCATCATCAGCCAATCTCTCTTCCTTGCCGTTTCCGTTACCGTCTCATTGATCTCGGCGTCGACCGGTTTTGATTTAATTTTGTTACGCTTCTGTGCCAAATCCAATTTTATTGGCTCCTTTATTTTCCTCAAAAACTTTGGATATTTACCAAATTTTAACTGATGATACGTGGCATACTCCAAATAAATGCTATCCAAATCGATATTATCGCATAGTTCGAACTCTTCATTTAAGCGAGCCTCCGTTAGCATAGCTTTTGCCGTTGCGAACAAGCCATTATCACTTAAATAACGTTGTATCAGATATAAGATATTTTTGTGCCTAATACTCAAATTGCGTATCTCCTCGTTCCTAGACATGATAGTAAATATAAATTTTTCCTTTTTATTTTTATTATTTTTTTTTATTTTTTTGCTTTATTTGTCTTCAAATTTCGGTTCACTTATTCCCACACAATTGTCAGTCGATAACTAAAATTTATGTTTTAATACTTATGCTGCCGCACATATTAAATGAAACAGTTTTTCCAGTTGGCTAATGGTTACTTGGCAACTCTTTATAATGCAATTTTCAGTAAATCCCAGTTAAGCAAACGACCGAGCGCGCACAGACACAAGCATAACACAAATTCATAATATTTGTTACTTTCATGTTACTATAGTGATTTGATAATTTTTTTATTCCTTTACTTACTTATTTATTTATTTATTTATTTATTTATGATGTTTTGTTTTTTTTTCATTCCCCTTCAATGTGCAATTTAATAGGAGTTGTATAGTAAAACCAATATGGACAATGCATAATGGCACTCACTCACTCAACAAGAGAATGAATAAAAGCAAATAATTTTTGGATGGTTGCCAAGTTATAAGTTAAATATAACTTTGGTTTGTGGAATGTCTATGAGAAAGAAATTCATTTCAATTCTTTTACGTACACAAACTTTTTAAATGCAAAGATTTTTTTGGAGCAACCATCGGCACGATGAGAGTATGTTATAATAATTTTGTCATTTTTTTTTTTTTTTTTTTTTTTTTTTAAACAAGAATTACCCATCAGAGATCTCATAAAGGACATAATTTTTTATTTAACGGGCAATTCAAAGATAATTTGCTAAAGTCTTACAATTTGTTCGTTTAATTTTTCAAATTCTTACAGATGTAAAATTGAATTTCACAATTCAAGAAGGGATCCTTATATAGCCATAAGATTGATTATTGTATTCAAGATTGAAATAATTCTTAAAAATTGAAAATATTAATTATATTTTCAGTTGGAATTTAGACAAGTAAGAAAATCGCAAATAAACAAAATACTTATAATAAAGATGATTAGGAGCAGACATGTTAAGTTTTAATAATGTATCGAAAATTATGCGGTCGTGAGGTTTCCAAAAATAGAAATATGGGCGAGCAGAAAATCATGGCGAAGAATCTTGAACTGATCACGATTAAAGCTACTTTTCAACGAGCCTTTGACACCGATCTCTAATTGTTCCAAACGAAATGACATATCTGGTATAATTTACCTTTTGAAGGTGAAATAAAGAAAAAAGGCACCATTTTTTATTCATTGGAAATTGCTAATCATCCCTTCTTTGTGTGTACGTGACAAAGATACAACAATAAAACAAAAAGCAAAAGCATTACAGTCTGATAAAGCCGGCCGTGAGAAGTCCTACACCACTTTATCGCATATATATATATAAGTATTTATTTATTTTTATTTTTCTTTTCACGTCATCACATTCACGAGATATATGCGCGGGCGGTATGGTGGTGGCTGAAAACGGTTATAGACAGCGAGGCACGGAAGAAGCGAGACGAAATAGTATTACGTGGCGATTTATGCCGCGAAATTCTGAAAATTGCATTATTTGTGGCCCGACAAATTATCATTCAACGATTTTTATCGGGAAATTTTGCAAAGTACGAATTTTTTCCATATAACGACCTCTTCAAAATATGGCTGTTTATGTGAAGTTGTCGTAGCAAACGTCCAAATAATTTTCACTGGGCTTCTTCCTTAAGACAAACCCCGTTAGGTAGAAAGATCCAAGAATGAGCCAAAAAAAAAAAACCAGTCGTGTACAGACGAACAAGCCCGATTCATTTTCTGGGCATAGCGTACACCTCCTCAAATCTAATATACCTTGTGCATATCAGCAGTGCAAGATATAATAACTAACTATATTGTTTTCATAATCACAAAGCCCTGGGAAATATATCTTTAACTTGACCAATAAACTGGGATTCAAGATTAGGATACGTATTAGCTATATTTTCATTCAGTTCAAGTAGTTATAAAAATTGAAAATTCAAGATACACCTGGGACAAGCGAAAAACCTTGTTTAGAAAGAGAGAGAGAGAGCGAGAGAGAGAGAGAGAGAGAGGAAAATCGCCATAAGCTTTTCTTCGTGCAGAATTGAACGTACCTTAATGCATACATACATATTCTCTCCCTCCCTCCGTCTCCCTTTAAGTCAAACTAATGATTGGTATTATAGAAGTCTGCCAAAATTATATCCTAAATTACTTCCGCTACAAAGTAGTGCGATCAATATAGAATCATTGTCTGATTTGATTTAAGCGTGTCTGTCCATCTAATTACAATTCAAATCAGTTCAAAAGTCAATTTTCAATAGGGATTCCCTGTTTGAATCGGTTTAAGAACGTCTACCTGATTGTTCATTTGTAAATTTGATGTCTGTCTCAGCAATTTTTATGTTCAATCTGCAATATTTGAGATATTTTGGGCAAATTTGATGCACTGAGACGTTTTGACCGTAAGAGTACCGCTTTTCAAAATAGATAAGACAAGGGTCTTATCTAGTCGCTATATAAAAACTCGCACAAATTATTCTTGAAATACTTTTACATTCGCGAATATTAAGAGCTCGGTGTTATTTTTTTTGTTTCTCTGTGAAATGAAAATGCCAAAGCACTTACCGCTTTAGAAATATATTAAGTGGTGATCTTTTTTTTGGCATAAAGGAAACGATTGCAATTTAGATGAGATGAGATTTAGATAATGATGGCGCGTTATGTTCTACAAACTCGTGCCACAATCACTTAATTACGAGAAAAGTTCAGTGACCGTATAGTATCGAACAAAAAACCGATATGAATTAGTTGCCGCGACAACACGATATTAACCCAATTCAATGTTTTCCTCTTGGGTCATATTATAATAAATGATTGTTTTACTTCAATAAACTAAAACCAAATCCCTTATTACCCACACACAAGAGTGACCACAAAAAAAAAAAAAGATTCAGGAAATGTGTTTTTAAAAATATGAATTTAAAACCAATAAATCCAAAGGCACTCATTCACACGCAACTATTTTTAAATACAAGCACCACATTGCACATGACAATGTGGTGCTTGTGACCATTTTACATTAAAAAAAAAAAAAAAAAAAAAAAAAAAACAAGACAAAAAAAAAATCTTTGGTAATTCTTTAGAATCTATTGAAGACTTGGTGTAAGCACTTACGTTGTTATACACATCAGTGCAGGATAAGGGGGGTGTCAATTATTTTGTCAAAACACTTGTACCGCCCAGAAGGGAAACTTCAGAGACCCCACAAAATATATATTTTCTTGATCAGTATCAAACAACTAAATCAGTTTTGAGCATTTTTGTCTGTCCGTCCGCATAAAGGCTGTTGTAAACATTCCCCTGGCCACAAAGATAAAGCTATCGACTCAAAATTTGAATAAACATTAAAAGTTCTTGTACGCAGGATAGTATTGAGAATGGGCGTAAATGTATCTAAGGACACGCTTACAATACCACGGAAAGTGAGGATACTTCAAATTTTCAAAGGGGAGAAGAGATTGATTTCTTGCCCATCACTCATAAACTATAGCAGATAAATGTAGAAATATCCAAACTCTAGGCACCTCTATAAAAATGAAAAAATCGGCTACGCCTACTTAAGAGTATCATAATTAAATTTTTTTTTTAAAAACCTTTATAGTTATATAACGCTTGGAAGCAAGCTTCAAAAACCCGACAAAGTATATAAATTCGTGGGTCAGTTTAAAATTCGGAATGTACGTAACTATGTCCGTTTTTTCGTTCGTTGTTCATTTGTCCGTCAGTCCGTCAACCGTGCAGTATCTGTGTTAAGCACTATTCGGTTCGCAAAAATGATGACATCGCCTACGAATTTGCAACAAAACTTGAATTTGATCTAAACTTTCCAAAAAAATACGCCCACAACATGGACAACACCCACGCATCTATACGAGAATCACAACTGCGCTTACTCCATATATGCAGAGAATGAAAATTTAATTCTTTTACTTTTTTTTGTATTGTTTAGAATAATCGTGATGGGTACAAAAGATTCGCCTCGCGAACGAATAAAATTTTCTTATTTGTTCTAAATCAATACGTGTAACTTAAAGTACTAATGCATAGCAGTAAGTAAGAGAACAAAGCTTTGTAAAAATTATTACTTTTGATGAATATTTCCAGTCTGGGTAAACTTGGTATTATTTTGTCCTAAGATAAGCTACAGATTAGGATACTTATGAACTCGTGAGGTAATAGACTCATTTAGTATTTGTTGGTGATTCATATTTTGCAGGAAGCAAAACAAATTTTTAAATATATTAAGACAATAAAAGAAAACTTAAAATAATTGCGCTAATAATTGTATGTAATAAGAATTGTGAATAATGATTTTTTTTCGTTTTTAATTATTATGCCAACGAAGGAATGGCGATATAATCGATTTGTCATTCTGTTTGTAATAAGTGTTAATGTGCATAGCAAAGCGTACAATATTGACTGGGCGAGCACTCTGGCGTATGTCGTTTATAAATAACTTAATGGATCCAAAGAAGATATTCGTGTACTTAATACAGAGCACGGCATTGCCATTAAAGTTGTCACGTTTAACATAGGTATATAATAATTGAAGCCTTTGCTCTGGTCTTGCTCTTTTCTAGGGGGACAAGGCGTTTCAGATTTTTAAGAAGGCGTTCACATAGCGGCTTGGAAATTATCTATAATACGCAAAGAAATAAAAAAACAGAAAAAAGAAGAATTATCTAAATATGTAAAACCCTTCGTCAGTCTGCTGTCCTGTCCTGTGTGTTTATTGATTTTAAAAAGTAAATTAACTAATGATTTGAACAATTACCCTAAGCTAAGTAAGTCTATACATATTTAAAATTGCATGTATTTATTTTTAACCAAGACTAAACATAACTAAACATTGCCTTGAACAAACATAAATCTATTTAGTTACTAGTCCACTCTTATCATTAAATTCCATTTCCGTGGAGTGTATTTACGTGCATTATAGAAAAAAAACTTGAAAAGTTAAGAGGTAAGAGGAAAGTAAGTTTGAATATAATTATATGTATATATGTATATATATGAGTGCGATTCATTAAATGACGCAAACCATGTCCTTGCTTTCCGTTATGTAAAATCATAATTTTATCATTAATTTAAAAGATTTCAACAAGTTTTCTGCAAATCTTTTACGGTAATTTAATAATAAAGAAAAATAAAAATACATACATACGAACACTAACGTACTCGCCCATATATCAATTTAATTATGTTTATAAACAATTTAAGGCAAATTATTAGTTGTAAACAAATGTTCCAACTTTCTCTCTCTCTCTCTCTC